GGCTGTCGATCTCTCCTGCGTGTTCTCCAGGTGAGAGTTAACTTTTTGATTTTCTTTGTCTTTAAAATTAAATGCTTTGGAGGTTTTAAGAAGATGAACGATCCCATTCCCTGCACTTTTTAACATTCTTATTTGGACTTTCTAGATTTCGATTTTGGACGTGAATGTTTGAATTTTCTGGGCGTGCTTTTGTCTTATGGCCTGCAAAGATTATCCGTGACTAACTATGGCATTTGCACCTAAAGATCTAGTAACATTATCATTTGTAGTTTTCTCCCTCCTTTTTGGGTTGAAGTGTTATATGAGGTTTGCGCTTTCGAGCTTATCTGATTGGATCGTTTGCCTGAACTTGAGTCCATCACTTCAGGATGTTATGCTTTCATATAGTCAAGTCACTTGCGAAGTTTGGGGTTTTTAATTTGGTATCTTTTTTCTTTTTCATTCGTTAGTTTGTAGTCTATCAAGTTCTCTGGATCTGGATTCTATTAAACTATTTTTTTACTGAAGACTAAATGATATGCATTGATATCGATGTTCTGTTTCCTTCTCCTTTCAGGTGTTTGTTTGCTGGAATAAGAGTTCCCAATGTATACTTTACTAGTCTGATTAGACATTTTGAGACAGATAGCAATCCTACTAGCTTAGAATGAGCTTGCTATTAAGATTAAGGGGTCATTTACCCAAGGGGTTCTATAGACAAGCTCTTGGTTTGACTGCCATAGGGCTTAATCTGAGTAATTTGAATGTCGGTCCAAGATATTTTGGTCAAGCTGCGAGGAAAGAGGGGGATGATGATGTAGAGGAAGTGGAAATTGACCAAAGAAGGCTCCCAGCTGATTTTGATCCTGCAACATTTGATCCTACTGAGCATAGGAGTCCTCCATCGGAGAAAGTTTTCAGGCTTGTTGATGAATTGGCGTCTCTAACACTAGCTGAATCTGCAGAATTGGGTCCCATTCTGATGAGAAAAATGGGACTAAAGGAAATGCCTACTGTGGGATATATGAAACCTGGAGCTGCTGCTAATTTGGCTGGGATGGCAATGAAGGCACCTACTGCAGCCAAAGAGGAGAAGAAGCAAGAGAAGACTGTATTTGAATTAAAATTGGAATCCTATGAAGCAGCTTCAAAAATTAAGATCATCAAAGAAGTCAGGGGTTTTACAGATTTGGGTCTGAAGGAAGCAAAGGATTTAGTGGAGAAAACACCATCCATTATAAAGAAAGGAGTTTCTAAGGAAGAAGGAGAACAGATTATGGAGAAAATGAAAGCTCTTGGTGCGAAGGTTGTCATGGAATGAAGGTAAACCGATGCACATTGTCTTGTTGGAGAGCTATTGAAATGTGTTTTTCGTTACCCCCACATTTCCTAGAGTTTTCTCAGGGATACTAGGTTGACAAATTTAACCATTTGTGCTCATTTATGAATTTGAGCTGGAATTTGATAGTGCAGCTATTCAAGAATATAATTCATTAGAACAAGACCTAGGGAAAGTTCTTTCTAATGAAAGCATTTCATGCTGACAATTTTTACAATTTTCCATAATATTATTGACTTTTAGAGATCCTTCACATGTCATATTAAACTTATGTTTAATTTCACGTTGAAAACCATCAAAATCACGTTTTTACTTCCCCAAAAACATGGTTTTATGATTTCCATTTTGAAATCAAATATGCATAAAGAACTTTGATAGCAAACAATTTAAGAATTACACTTTAAGTTTTTATTCCTGCCATGTCCTTTATGGTGAAACATGCCGTTGCTCTGACTTCTGGTAATGCAATATAACAGATACTCAGTAATGTTACCTTTTTTATGGGGTAAATAATTTTCTATTCAGACATATAATAGTTGTTTTATTTAGCTGTTTGGCTGGTTTGAGATGTGTTTTTGTTTTGGGCTAATTATTTTTTGCCCTGTGTTAATGTTTTAAACTTTCGAAGCAAAACAGTATTGTTGAGTCAAATTATAATTTGGACTTTTGGTATCAATGTCAACAGAATTGGTCGACTTTTTCTTTAAAGATAAGATCACAATAAAAAACTACTCGTGCTCCTTAATACTAGTCATATTTCGGAAGGAATTTTTTCGTCTCAAATACAAGTCACTTTGGGAGATGTCCGTTGCGTTAATTATTTTATTTCATTTATGCCCTTGGTCTACAATTAAAAGATATACTAGTAGAAGGGGCTAGTCCCTCACAACATGGTAAATCAAGGTTCAAATCCCTGTTAGGATAAGTGTCCACATTCAGTGTCCGATAGTGTTTCGAATAGGATTGCCTTTAATAGGAGGATACCAATGCTTTAGCAAAAAAAAAAAAAAGATATTCCTTCTGGTTTTTAATATAAAAGTTAGATAATTAATTTCTACATCAACAAAAAAAAGATAATTAATTTGTGAATGTTAAGAAAATTGATTTAATTACATGTAACCATGAATATCATTTCTAATTATATGCGACAACATATCTAAAAACTTGATTGTTGATTGAGTACAATAGTATCGTGAAATCTATGTAACTGACCTTATTTAGTGGGATAAGATTTATTGTTGTTGTTATTATTGAATATCATTTCTACTCTCATGCATAACTATCCTATGATTGAAACTTTTGTTATTATGTGTAATTAATAAGAATATTTTAAAAAAAAGATTATAAATTTGAGAGCCAAATTAAATTAATGTCTTATATTTAAAATTAAAGTAAACTCCTGTCTAGCTTTTATATTTAGGATTAAGGTAGTTATTAATATGATACTAGAATTTAAATCATTCGCACAATGCTCCTCATAGTTTAATCTTATTGTTCTTTGATTAAAATCCAATTTATGAATTTTTTATGTCTAGAGTTAAGCATCCAGTGGCAGTCTCTTGGTTTGTCTGCTACAATTTAAAAAACGAGTTAATCACTTGCTTGGAAAACAAGCATAAATGATTTCACTATTAAATATTACTATTTGCTAGAAAATGAGATGGATCAATTTAAGAGCGCAGGTAAAGCAGGCATATTAAGGTTATAAGTATAAAATTATTAAGATTTTAAAAAATTGATGATTACGAATCAAAATAGAATCATAATTACAAGACTAATCATTTTTGTGCTGACATCCATGATTTTTGTTGTCGAAAATTGAAAAAATGAGAATAACATTATAAATTATACATGTCTCATAGCTTTAATTTATTTTTTTGCGCCTGACTCTCAGCTTTTATAAAATATAATGATATAATTATCGCTAAAATATGATGATAATAAACAATTACTGTTCATTTTTTAGTTTTTTTTTTTTTTAGTCTTGCTGGTGTATTTTTATGGGGCAATAAGTGACGATTTTAATTCACATATCTAAAGAATTAAAGAGGAATGTATGAAAAAGGCAACTCATTTTTTAAACCAAATATAAATTTAAAAATTCTTTATTAAATTTATTTTACTACCTTCGGTTCTAATTATAAGACCCAGTTGACTTATTTGAAGAGATTAAGGAAGTAAGTTAAGTTAGTTATTTGTAATAAATAAATGTCATCATTCCTAAAATATCCTTGTTAGTTAAGTGTATTAGCTAGAATTATCATTATTAGAAGAACTATCTTGGAAAAAAATGTATAAATATGAGAGACAAAATAGATTGGGGTCTTATAATTAGGACCAAACAAAAAGTAAAAAAGGGTTTTATATTAAAGACCGGAGGTAATATTACCCTTCCTTCTAGACTTTACAGGTATCATTGATGCAGAGTTGATTCACAAGATATCCATAATTATATTACAAATTAAGTCTTATATTAAGTAAAGGAGAAAATGTATTGCCATGTTAAAATATTGTAATAATAATAGCACAAAAACTAGAAGAAACCATAATTAAATATATACCAGATGATATTATTAAGGCAAAAATAATTTTTTTCAACACAAGAACAGACCACTAGTTTCAACTACATTTGTATGCATAAACAAAACAGTAAAATTAAAACAAAGAAGATTGGTATTTTAGCAATAATAACGGCAATGTTGCAATGTGGTTTCCATAAGGTCGAAGTGTTCATTTGAAATCATTTATAAACACTGTTTATATAAGTTGGAATAAATTTTTTTTTCATATATTTACTTCGTGTTTTATAAATCACGATTTAAAAACACAGTTTTTGAAAGTTTCAATCACCATTCCAAACAAGCCAAGCAGCAAAATTTGTTGCATCACGTCCAAATCCATGTTAATAAATTTCTTCGAAGTTCATGTAATTTTCTTGCCTCAATTCATATCTATAAATGTTCTTCTCTGTGGTGAAAATCAATTGATCCCCCTTCATAACAATAAATCTTGTTGCGATAATAGGAACTTCTTGTTTTACACCTGTTCATAACAATAAATTGGGAAAGTTATTTCATTTGTTAAACCATTTTAATCATTTAACTCTCTTATTGAGGGTATCTTTAAAAAAAAGTATAATTTCTCTATATTAATATCTTTACTAGCGCATTTGAATATTTATATATCTTTAAAATTATTATTGTTAATGTTAACTAGGTTATCTCATACTCCTGTAATTTATATTTATATAAATTTACTGATATATAGATATATATTACTTCCGGTATTTAATATAAGACCTTGTTTGAATTTTATTTTGATCCTAAATATAAGACCCAAATCCATTTTGTCTTTCATATTTATATATATTTTTTAAAGTAGTCCTTCTAACAATGGTAGTTCTAGCCAATACACTTGATTAACAAGGATATTTTAGAAAAGACAACACCTATTTAGAACAAATAACTAACTTAACTTATTTTCTTAATCTTCTTAAATTAGTCAACTAGCTCTTATAATTATAAGTTTATAATTAGGAGCAGACGTAGTATATTTTTAATTCGAGGGAATATGTATTAACTTGAGGTGATGCGGATAGAAGCCGAAGAATACCTGAATTTATCACAAACGACACCAGAAAGCCGCAAACTTTATAATCTCGGATAGCACGAAGCAATGAGGCAGTACAGCAGTATGATGTGAGAAATTGCCATTCCCTATACCGTCGATAGCATTGCCGGCGGCGACCAACCAAAAAGTGGGTCTCTCTTAGTTTCTTTTGGGGTCCCGCCCTTTTATCCCTTTGCGTTTTCTCGCGCCTTTTGCCGGTGTAGCACTCTCTGGTCCAGCGCACACTGAGAATAACCATTTTCCGGTAATCTTCTGTGAGAATTGCCCTCACAGCTCACGTTTCTTTACCGAATTATCCCAATGTTATTTTTTATTGACTCTGTTATGAGTTATGACCCAATTTTGAGACATTCTTTTACGAATCTTGCATTGTTTAATTATATATTAGTCCATATTTTTTTTATTGGTTGCTGCATTGTGGCTGGACTTGGGTTTAATTAATTTTGATGATGAAACGACAGAAAATTTGTGGAGTCCACAATGCTATTTGGTTTCTCCGTGCTTTTTCGGCTATGCTGAGGCATGTATACTGTTGTTTGTGCTGTGCGTTCTAAAGTTACAAGTTTTGTTTCCACAATATGAGAGCAGTGTGGTGAATTTTTTGCTATTAGTTCCAATTCTCACGCTTAAGGTTTCGGGATAAAATCTTGTACATCTTGTGCGTTCTTACATCTACCTTAAAATTTTTAGCTGATCGTATTGCTTACTAAATGTGACAGGCAGTCTCAAGATTTGATCTTCGACCAATTGTTATACTTATAACACTCTCTGAAGGACACACTATCTGTGAGGGAATGTTAACACCGTTGTTGATGGAATCCCTTGTTCTTAATCTCCATGAGATCTCTGCTGTCAAATTTGGCAACTTCAAGCTCAAATCTGGCATTTCCTCACCAATATACTTGGACCTCCGACTCATTATATCATACCCTTCCCTTCTCCGCCAAGTCTCCCAAACACTGATATCCTCTGTCTCCTCCTCTTCCTTTGACCTTGTATGCGGTGTCCCTTACACTGCTCTACCCATTGCCACTTGTGTCTCAGTCACTCAGAATATTCCCATGGTCATGCGCCGCAAGGAAATCAAAGACTATGGCACTGCTAAAGCCATTGAAGGTGATTTCAAGGCTGGCCAAAGTTGCTTGATCATTGAGGATTTAGTTACCAGTGGCACTTCAGTATTAGAAACTGCTGCGCCCCTGCGTGCTGCAGGGTTGAAGGTTAGCGATGCTGTTGTTTTGATTGATAGAGAGCAAGGTGGGAGAGAGAATTTGGAGGAGAATGGGATCAGGCTACATTCAATTGTTAAGTTGACTGAAATGGTAAACATTTTGAGGGAAAAGGGAAAGCTTGAGAAGGATATGGTAGAGGTTGTTATGAAATTCTTGGAAGAGAATCAGAGGGTTGCTGCATTAGCAAAGTCAATGAAGCCTAAAAGGGTCAAGGCTTTGTCTTTTGGGGAAAGGGCAAAGTTGTCTAAGAACCCAACTGGGAAGAGGTTGTTTGAGATTATGGCCGAGAAGGAGAGTAATCTTTGTTTGGCTGCAGATGTTGGAACTGCAGCTGAATTGCTTGAAATTGCAGAAAAGGTAAGAACTTGATATTTTCTTTTGGAGGAAGTTTCCTGAGATAGTGGTAAAGAGAAATACTTTGAACAAACTAGCACTAATTTTTTCACTTGAGACTTAGGTGTTCACTTTCAGCCTAAGTTCTGTATTTATTTATTTTTTAATTTTATTTTAGCTATTTCTAGAGGCCTCTCATTTGGCTTGATTTCTCATATATGTTGAAAATTTAAGGGTTTTCAAATGAAAGAAAGTTGAAGCTTGAATGGGTAAAGAGTCATGCCTCTCTATTCAAAAGCTAGTTTGTGATTAAAAGTAAAGCCCTGCTAACTCTTTCTAACTAGTTTTCTGTGGCATTTTCCTATTAGGTTGGGCCTGAGATATGCTTGCTGAAAACTCACGTGGATATTTTGCCCGATTTTACTCCTGATTTTGGCTCTAAGCTTCGCATGGTAAAATTCCTAATTCCAAGTTTATTGTGTGCATGCTTTGCCAGACTATAGGGGGTCTGTTGGCATTCATTAAGGAAATTGTATTGATTTTCCTATTTCCTTTGGTGGAGTGCCATGCATAATTTGGTGCATCATGTCTGATAAATTTTGAGGAATCTGATGAATTATTGTATATGTCCAATGTTACGTTATTTTGCGTTCTGCTCCTTGCCTATGGTAGAAGTGTTGTATGTGAATATGGGCATCATGTGATTGTATTTAAGGAAGCACTCATTTTTCTTCCCTATAATCCTAACCTATTATATATTCTAATTAAGATTGCAGAGAAACATAATTTCTTAGTCTTTGAGGATCGTAAATTTGCTGATATCGGTAACACAGTTACTATGCAATATGCAGGGTGACACTTTGACCTACTCTTGACTCCTTTGCATTTCTCTTCCATTAGTTTATTCTTTATTGTGACATCAACATATTCTGATGTTTGAAGGGGGATTTATCACATTCTGGAGTGGGCTGATATGGTAAACGCTCACATTATTTCTGGTCCAGGAATTGTTGATGGATTGAAGTTGAAGGTGAGTAATACTTATTATAAAATCATTTTCACTACAGAAAGACCTCAAACGACAGCCTAACATATGCTGAGTTACACTCAGGGTTTGCCTCGGGGTAGGGGCTTGTTGTTGCTTGCTGAAATGAGTTCAGCCGGTAACCTTGCCACAGGAGATTATACAGCTGCAGCGGTGAGAGTTGCCGAGGATCATTCGGATTTTGTCATTGGCTTCATTTCAGTCAATCCAGCATCATGGCCAGGGCAACCAGTCAATCCTTCTTTCATTCATGCAACTCCCGGAGTTCAAATGGTCACTGGTGGTGATGCACTAGGGCAGCAATATAGCACTCCATATTCTGTAAGTTTCTTGTTTTCTGTTTCACATCTGCTTCTAATTTTTATATCTTAGTGTGTGGTTAAATTACTCGTAAATAGAAGTTGATCACCTTCATGAGGTAGGTATGGATTCGGATTCTCTGAAGTTAGAAGTTTGTAAAGTGTCTCTGACGTAAGAGAGAAGAGGAAAGAGAGAAAGTAGAACCAAGACATAATCTTATTTTTTGCATCACTCTCTTATTACTTTTACTTCAGAGAATCCAAATTTAGGTAATCAAAATTGTTGAATTTCTCTGCTGGGTAACTAGAGACGACACAGTTGTTTGAACCCATGTTATAGTGAGTAGAAAAATGTGAATTTGTTGAGAGAAATGCCCGATTTAACAATAATAGAAAAAAATATGATTAACTGATTAGCATTTCCCCTTGGCCAGCTAATTTAGTTGTTTTCATTGGTCATAATTTAACTTAACTGTACAAAATATCCGTTTCTGTTTGAATGTAAATAAAAGAGAATGTCTCAATCAAATTTTCTCTTCCTTGATCTAAACACCCCCTTATGCAATTATAAATCAAAGAAAATCTATTAAATTTATTAAATTATAAATCAAAGAAAATTTATCTTTTTTTATCCCCACTCTCCTCAATCCATCATTGTTCATTCTTAGGCTTTGAAAATACAGAAGTTTAATAATTGCAGAGAAATAAATGTGTAATTCTTTTTTTTTTTATCTTAATATTTTTCAGTCTGCTTCTATCACATGATTGATACATGTTTTTATATTATAGGTGGTGTTCTTGACAAATGACAATTAAAAAAAAAATGTTGTTGCAGGTGATATATAATAATGGAAGTGACATAATAATTGTGGGTCGTGGGATCATAAAGGCACCAAATCCAGCCAAGGCAGCTCATGAATATCGACTTGAAGGATGGAAAGCTTATATGGACAAGTGCACTTGAGACTTCTATTTTATAATTTAACATTAGTATAAAAAGGGCTTTTTACCAGGGGTTTTCTACGCCAGTTCCAAAATTGCAGTAAAAAGTCATTTTTAACCTCTGTAAAAAGTCCTCTTTTTTTTTGTGCTAGTGCAAGGCTGTGGTTGGAACATGAAAAATGGATTTAAGAAAAGGGAAAATGTGTGAGAGAGTATTTTTATTGTGCTTGGTGGATGAAAAACTTATTTTTTTTTTTAATGAAAAGATAGCTTTCATTAGTTTTAACAAAGTTAATTTTCTCTCTGCACAAAAGAGAGTTGCATACTTAAAAGCAGAAATTCATGGTTTTGTACAACTTTGTCTCCAGTAAGACCAATAAGAAGGTACATGTGCTTAAGAAAGAAATGTAAGTTAGAAATGTGAGAAAATGTAAGTTTATTGTGTTTGATAAATTACAAGGTGGTTCTTTTGAGAGAGAGCATTTCATGCTTAAATCGGTTAAACATACAAATAAATATAGCTTTTAACATAAAGCGTTGGATTGGTAAGTTTTTCTCGGAACTCAAGTAGGTGGGCAAGTTGAACTCAATGAAATTTACATAATTGGGGCAGCATCTGTTAAAAATCATACATTAACCCCTATGTAATTTGTAATCTTATTTTAATTCTCATCATTGCCATGATCCTTCAAAGACAATTCTCTGCTATGGAAAGAAATTGAATCCAAGAGATATTTCCTTCATTGACTCCTTTGACCTTAACTTTAGTTTGCCAATGTTTCTTGTGTGGTTTCACTAAAATTCTGAAATGAGAGGTTCTATTAATAAAATGTCACTGGAACACGTTTACTAACAGTAAGATATACTCCATTTATTTTTTTTTAATAATAGACAATAAACCAATCGCGTTGATGAAAGCAGTTTATTAAAGTTAGTGATAATGAATATGTACAAAATAAACATTCCCACAAAAAAAAAAAAAACCCGTATTTATGCGAAGAGAGTGTGAGATAGAGAATTTACCTTGATGATAAATACACTATTAACAAGTAATTAAATGGGAGTAAAATAAGAAATTTAAAAAAAAATACAAATAGCTTTTAAGTGTCTTTTATAAATATGAACAAGTCATACTCAAAAACTATTTATTATTAAAAAAAAAAACGGATATAAAGAGTATTTGAGAGTATGAGAGTATTTCACACAAGAATTTCTAAATAAAATAGAACACTAGGACTCACATTAAAAAAAAAAAAACACCAAAAAAAGGGAGGTGAGGGAGAAATAGTTTGTCCCTTTCCTCCACAGAAATAGAAGAAAAAGGAGGCTCCAGAACTTCTATCTATCTTTTTGTGTGGATGATTTATCTTGTACATAGGGATAATCCGGTTGAGCAGACCACAAACCCCAGAGTATAATTAAGTGGAGGCAGAGAAGCAGCCCTGAAGAAAGGCTGCTTGAAGGATAGATATTCCAACACATCTCCACTCCCATGAACAAAATTAACCTGCTCCATAAACATAAATTGATCTTGTTATGAATTCCATGTAGCACATAAATTGAAAAAGAAAAATCATTCTGTGATCCCAAGGAAGGAAAATAATTACCAAAAAATCCCATAACAAGTGAATAACGAGTTTCAAGGCAAGAAATGGCAACAAGGTCTTGTGACTGAGTTTTCGGTGATTATATTATTTCCTTGGAACCCAGTGATTTTTCCAACTTAAAAAAAGAAAAGAAAAAAAAGACAAGGCTGCAGATTTAGAATAATTTACCGCATCAATGTCGAATAATTTGTTCTCCACAGAAGGTAAGGTAAGCTATGGAAATACCTGTACCACATACCATTGCCCAAGTTATGTTCATTGGCACCATTGCATTCGATAGATAATATTTTGCTCGGCAACACGTTTCATAATATTTTGTCTACTCGGTTCAGCAAAATAAAGGAAACTAGGGGTTATTGCTTTGACATGATCTATGTTATTGGATGATTTCTAATTGACTGTGAAAAAGATAGTTCACATATATCAGCATGATAAACGAAATAACTCTCAGATGAAATATGAGCTTAACTCCGAAACCAATAAAAGAAGAAAGCTCGCAGACAAGAGTTCACACCCAAAGACATTTTTTATTCACCAAAAAGATCCACCGAGAAATATAAGCAATCATTGCGTAAATAATAAGGATTAGACCACAATAATTTCCCAAGAAACGTCTTCAGAATATTATAAACAGGAATGATATATTTTTTCATGCAAGGATTTAGAAGTTCCACCATCTCACTCCAAATCAGTAGTATAATAAAGCAGATCCAGTTACAAGAAGTTTTATTATGGGGGAAAAACTGATACGAAAATTATCGAGCTACAACAAGTAAGGAACAAGGCAAGCAACTTTTGCAATGAGACCTTATAGCAAAAATTAGGCAAGGACTATGCTCAGCAGAACTTACCATGAATAAAATTGATAATGCAACGACCTTGCACAAACAATGCCAATGAAATTTCCAACAAACATAGTCGTCACAATATCTGAGTATAAGGCAAGTTTAGGATTTTAAAGAAGAGCATGAAGAAGAGAAATGGGAATTTGAGCTTTAGTAAAAAGTAAGAATTAATCTAGTCCTCACGAAATTTTATGCGATTCATTACTTACGTTCTTTAGTAAGAACCTTCACGGAAGATGAACTGGCCTTGCCATGCCTCATAGAGACATATCTGGAGTGCAGAAAAGTGATAAGTCCTCCTTCATGTCTGCAAGAAAACAAATACGTAAACATAATATAAAACAGTAACCCACATCAACATGCTAAACTCAACTAAACTAGAAACCTACTTATTCCAACGAAGCAAGATTTACTTATTGCAACTGATATAGTGACTAGTGATACGGATAAACCTCATGAGTAGGTCATGGGGACATCTACTTGTTGCCCTAAAACAGAAGTATAAAAACTAATAAAATGCATAGCTCGATTACAATATCAAAATTGCAGCCCGCCCTTTTCAAAGCTTACAAGTATGTTGTTCAAATATAAATGCAACAACCCCGTTTTCTTCCCCCCATTGGGGTGGGGACTTTATACCTACTTGCACCATCTATAGTGCGCAAACAAAGTAAGTAATATGAGGTGAGCAGCCAGCAAAAAGATTGCAAATCCTTTGGATATAAAGACTGGTTCAGGCATGAACTTGAAGTTAACGGACCTGATAACATGCAATCAAAATTATACATCAGAGAAAAACCAATTTGGATCAACGAAAGAAGGGTTAAGATGCAAATTTGCCCTGAAAGTTTTTTTGGGTGCAATTTTGGTTCGGAAGTTTAAATCATAGCAAAATTGCCTCCAACTATTAAAAATATTAACGATTAATATCACTATTTTAACGGTTACTTTTTTTAACAGTAAAGGGTAATATTAATATGATTTTATATTTTTAGAGCAAAATTACACCAAAAAAACTATCAAGTACCCAGCACTCCTGACCAAAAACTTTTGAAGCAAATTTACACCTTAACCCATGAAAGAAATGCATGTAAATGTAAAGGCACAGATGAACAGATATTCGATTATGCAGCCTGAAGGAAAACATGCAAACAATTTTTAAGGGTCCCTTTTACATTGAGGAGTTTGGCACTTTCCATAAGATTGATGGTAAAAAACTGACCAGAGCATCAATTCATTAGTCATTCAAGACACCAAACTTCTCAGCCTATTTGCTAGTGTATTGTTTTGGCGAAAATCAGGGTGCACTTATGCAAATATATTCCATTGTGCGAAATAATTGGTAACAATCTCTGTATAAAATGAAAATTTGAGTAAACTTGATTCCCTTCTTCCACTCATTAACAATCAATCAACAATAAACTCAGATGGCTTTCTTAATTACAGTTCAAGGTTAAATTTGCCAGAGGGGCTCACAGTTATTAAGCATACATCAAAGCACAAACTCCAGAAACAAGTACCAGAAATGAATGAAGACACGGCCAAGATTGAAGGCTCTCGATATATATGCAACTGGATGTGAAACCAGGAAAGGAAGTCCCAACAATATCTGCAGCAGCATTTCATCACTTAGGTGGTTAACAAATTACACTAATATTGGGAAGAGATCACTCTTCCGCACCAATTGCACACCTCCAATAAGTCCTACTCAATTAATAATGTGAAAAAACATGTTAAAGAAAGACATACACCTATCCTCATAAAAGTCTTTTCACTCTGTAAAGCATGATATTCAAGGAAAGAAGCAACAACTAGTAGCATGAAAAGAGGAAGTTTGTTGCCACATACTCCTCTGGTCCTATTTATAGGGTAGAAAGAGAATTTTTTTTTTTTATCCTATTTATAAGCCACTTCATTAAATTTTCAGCATGAATGTACTATTTTGTCTTTCATTTATTATAATATAGGTAGTTATCTCTTTAACAGGTGTATATGTTAAATATGGGTAAGGTTGAAAAATTATTATATTTTAATGAAGATTTAATGCATTTTAATGTTTTTCTTGGTCTGCGTGAAATATGCTGGAAGTGCCTCAGAAATAAGACCAGATGAGTAACATCTTAAAGATCATGACACAATAAAACATACAGGGCGAATCAAACAACAGAGTCAAACACCTGAACCAATGCTGCACCAGCTAACGCCAATAACAACCTGCTGATATCCATGGCCTGCACGTGTTTGAAGATAAGGACGTTAATTAAAACATTCTGCATCCCAATTCCAAGTGAATGATACAACACACTCAACTATATATAGTTCACCTTTAGCATCAGCAGCAATAAGGGCGGAGCATAAAGAAGCACATTCATCTTCACCGAAACAGCCCCACTAAAAAATAAACATGAAAAGCCCTGTAAAAATTTTAACAGATAGGAAGACACGCCCAGGAAAGGAACCATTACCTGAACATAATTAAACCAAGATGCCACCTTTGGTGTATGACTAAGAGCAAAGCAGCATGAAGAAGTGTCATGGCCACACAATCATTGAAGAGACGAAGCATGAAAATAGAGTGCAATCTTTTTGACAAAGAAAGCAAGCAAAGGGCCCACCAGGGAACCTGTTAGACATTTCAAGAACAATGAAAACTGTCGTCAATGCCATGCAAAAGAAAAGCAATGATGGTCAGGAGGGACTAGCAGCAAAGGTCATTCTAAAATCCACCAAAGTTATTATACATGTTGAGTTATAAAATTAGCCAACATGCATGGACAAAGACAATGTACAATTACAATAATTTGTGCAAGACATGAACCAATGTAAGGCATTATAGTTTTCACTAAATAGCTGAAAATAAGAATAGGTTGAAGATTTCATTTGTTAAACACACGTCTCCTAAATATAGCCACATTTTAAGAAAACACAATGACAAAAATGAGTCCTCAGATAGAGTTCCTTACCACATCAGTCTTCACATATACCAGGAGAATGATTGCCAGATTGAGAGTATACAAAAATGCAAACAAAATCTGCAACGAGAGAAGAGAAACGTGTGATGATTCCTTCAATGATTCTTTCATGCTCTCATTAATCATATATGAAAATCATTATAATTAAGGATTTTTTTTTTTTTGACCGGAGCATTATAATTAAGAGTTGAACTTCCTTAAATCTGGTTTTTCTTGAAGCCAGTAACAAGGAAAGAGTTTTGCATCAGCAACATAGTAGCATTCTTGACGACTAAACCACATAAAAAGGCTCTGCACAAGAAACGAAATGTTTTCTTTACCAATTTCAGTATCATGCCCAGTAAAACTGGGTAGACCCGAGAAACATAATGACTTGTTTGATTGGCTTTTCTAGCAAAACGCAGGAAATGCTCTTGGTATAGTAAATTTTTTTCTTGTGAAAATGTTATAGGTGCATTTTGAGTGAGGAAAACCCCTCGCCATCACTGAGAGGGGTGGGGGGGAAGAGGGAAAGCCTATGAAGCAAGCACCCAGCTGTCCATATTTGACCAACACATCACTTTTGATGCAACAGTGCATCAGCGAAGAAATATGAAATAAGTAAATCTATAATTAACAAGAAATGTAATCCTGAAAGTATTAGGCATATCCAATAACCTGAGCTGGATAAATTTCTCCTCCAGTTAGATACTGGAATGCAGAATAGATGTATAGAAATCCGGCTGGGTAGACCAGAGGCCCAGTATCACCTTTCAGGTTCTTGTAATCTCTTTCCCCTCCAAGAAACCCAGTAACCTGTTTCATGAGCAACATTGGACTACAAATTGATAATACGGATCCGGTAAACTCGGTAATCAAATTAAAACATCTGGAGATAGCCCGTAAATGTTAGGGACTCAGGGCAAGAAATTGAAAATTTTAGGCCTACATTGTCCCTTAAAAAGAACTGAACAAATTTAAGTCAATCGAGAACTCAATAAAAACATAGTCATGCTATTTAAAATCCATCTGGATGGCGTATTGACCGCCTAGTTTCATGTATAGGGATATAGACAGAGACAGACAAGCCCAAAAAAGATTCTTTTTCATGTGTTTGGCCAATAGCCCAAAAAGATGCTTACCTGTGACATGTAAGCGTCCCAATCTATCTTTGTATCTGCAATGAAGGATATAGACAAACACCAGCTGTCAAATTGGTACCAAAACCCCCTTCCCCAAGAGGTCCGGATGCATGAGAAAAATGGACAGAATGTTGAATGGATGTGGATTCTCTGCAGTTGGCTAAATGACTGTAGCATGTGTAGTTACTAAAATTAAGCCATTACAATCATTCGTTTGGGGATTATATGCCATATCTATTTTTTGGTTGAAGAGAATCATACCTCAAATTAAACTCATGCTTTGAATTGGTTCACTGATATATTCTGAGGGGATATTTACAATGACTATTTTGAATATTAAAGCTCAAATAATGCACTTTACGGTTTCTTCATAATTAAAAGTGTCTAACATGGCATGCGATTTCCCATTAGATCAGTTAAATGGCTTTTTATTGACTGCACAGCCCACATTCATTTAGCTGACAGTAGAAAATCCACATCCGTGTTGAACTTACATGGGACAAATGAGATGATGAGGAAGGCAAGGATGGCATCCGCAAAGACCAGAGCAACAGCAAAGGGTACCTTAGGATTTTCCATAAACTTGTGGCTTAAAGTCTTCAATCTGGGCGGAGGAGACGATCGAGTCACTGCTTGGACACCCATGGTTTCTCTGCCTCTGAATCGGGTGCCGTCGTCCATTAGGCAAGCTGAAAGACTCCGAAGCGAAGTCTCGAGCGACTCGCACAGCAAACGGCTTTTTGTTTTTCTTTTTTTGGATCTTGAAGCAAGCATCTTGGGCCCAATGTGCCGCTTTTGGACTCTAGAGGTAGAGGCTGGATCCCCGAAACAGATGCACAGCCTATTTAGTATTTACATTGACATTTTTTTTTGGGTTAGGCATATGTATTTTCTTATTAAAGTCGCGCAGAAAGCTTATCTTTTTAGAATTATCTTTACTTAAATAAAATGAATACAACATAATATAACTTTTATTTCAAATGGCATCAGCTCACAATATAATCAAGAAACATAAACTAAATTTATAATAACCTTCACTTCATACACAACTTTGGCTCTGGTCTTCTTACTTTCATTTTCACTCTCAATAGCAACTATTTTAAAACAACCCATACACTCTGCATAATGTAACATATAATTGATTATGTGTGAAAAGAGACTTTGACAAATACCACGTGAGGTGATGTGTTCTACATAAATCAATATAACTAATAAAAAAATATGGCTTTGTTTTATGAAAAATATGCAGAGCACAAAGATTTAACATTTAAATTTTTTTTTTTTATTTACCCCTAGACACAAATCACTATTCATAAGAAAAATATGGCTTGATGGACAAATAAAAAAAATTACATCAAGCTTTGTTTTAGCCAAGTTTTGCACTAATGAAACTTGGGGTTTTGTGTGCGTCGATGCACTTTCTCCCCTACAATTTTTAAATTTTAAAATCTCCCGCCATTTACTTCCTTTTTCTTAATCTTTAGTAATTTCTTCCTATCACATCCTATGCTTTCTATCTCCTATTATCATTCTCTTCCTCATATCTGACAGGTCAGTTCTCAGCTCCTTCTTTGAAATCTCCTTCCTCGCAGCCTCCAACCATTAAGGGCTTGTTTGGAGTTCCATTGAAAACGGACTTTTAAATAAGTTCACACAAGCCGAGACAAAACTCTCATTATATACTTATCTCGTATTCTGTAAATCACGTTTGAAAAACTACTTATAACTCAATCCAAACAAGCCCAATATTTCTTCCTCCCCTACTCTCTCTCTCTCTCTCTCTGTGTGAGATCTTCATTAGTTTCTTCTTCAATCTTCATCTTCATTGATAAGGAGCTAAACATTGAAGATGATTGGGAAATTTGGTGAGCATTAGGGCTGTTCACAGGACAGATCAGACAAGGACAGGCCTGTCCCGGTTTCGTTTCAATGAATAGTAACGGGACAGAAAATCTGTCCCTTGTCCCAGCTCGTCTCGGGGTTGTCCCAGTCTCGGTCGGGACAGGACCGGGAGGTCCCAAAGTTTTTTTTTAATTTTTTAATTTTTTTAATAAATCTGATTTTTTTAATTATATTTTTTTGGGCTTAAACCTTATAAAACATCTTTTTATTTTCTTTTTTATTTGTTTGGGCACTCTTAAACAAAAGCCCAAAATATTACATATAATAGTCATTAAAAACTCTAAACAAAAGCTTTGAACACAACAAAAACTTGCTAAAAATTCTAAGGGATAATTAATCCACAGTTCCTTATAGTTTCAACTAATTTTGAATCAGGTCCTTATAGTGTTTTTTTTCTTTTATCAGGTCCTTATATTTTCACCTGTTTTTAATTAGGTCCTTGTATTTATTTTTCTTTTTATCAAGTCCTTATAAGTTCACCTTATTTTTAATTAAGTCCCTGAATTTTTTTTCTTTATTTTATAAATTCTAATAGTACTATTATATAAACATAAAATAGTATATATTATTTAATATTAGTTTATAAACAATAATATTCTAAAGATATTGAATTATTATAATGATTTTAATTTTTTCAGCAAAAAATTAATTGTTCTAAAAAATTTTCCTGAATTAATTAATTCTACTACTTTTTTATTACATAATTATTAATTTAATTTAATTATTAATATTTTATATTTCAGTATTAATCTATTTAATTAAGCTTATATTTAATTAATAAATAAAAATTAAAACTACATGGACCTGATTAAAAATTTAGTGAAATTATAAGGATTTAATTAAAAGAAAAATAAATACAAAGACCTAATTAAAAAAAGGTAAAAGTATAAGGACCTAATAAAAAGAAAAAAAACTATAGGGATTTGATTCAAAATTCGTTGAAACTATAAGGACTTGCAGATTAATTAACCCAAATTCTAATCATCAATAATCTCAAATCATTAACAAATATAAAAACTCTAAATAAATATATCAATAGTTCTATACAATAATCTCAAATCTTTAAAAAAAATGAAAAAAAATGATATTATATAAATAAGATAAAAAATTAAAAAAATTAAGGAAAAAAAAAAAAGAACTGGGATGGGACGACCCCGTCCTGCGTCCTGTCCCATCCCAAAAAATTTCGAGACGGGTCCGTTTCGTCCTAATAAGACCAGGACCGGAACAAGCCGACCGGGAAGGGCCGGCCTTGAGCACCCCTAAGCATGACGATGGCGGAGAGGCTCTGATGCGAATGGTTATCATGTTGCGGGGGCAGAGACGACATGTTCATGGTGTGGGCTGCTCAATTTGACTTGAGGCAAGGTTGCGATAGCAGGGAGTTGCTGCCTTTGTCGATCAAGAGAAGAACTAGCAATTAGCTTTTTCAAGAGTGAATGCGATGGTGGAGAGGGACCAGCGAGGATATGATGGATGAAGTGAAGTAGCTGGTGCTTTTCTTATGGTCCTTTGATGATTTTCCCCCCTAATTTTTATATTATGATCAGATTAGTAATGTGACAAGGTTCTTCATTTGTTCCGTTCTAATATCTCTATTCTCTTTGTAAGATGAATGGGAGCGAAGGATTATGATAGGCGATGGATGTAGGCACCTAATCATCCTCTTCATTTTCACCACCTAGGAAGTTTTATATTTGTGAAATGAAATGGCATGTTGAACTCCATTCATCTAACCTTTGTAGCATTGTGGAGGAGTCCGCAGTAGTGAAATGAAATGGTGCAAAAGCTGTGTTTAAGAAGTGCAAGTTTGAAGAGCTCTGCACAAAAGGACGAGACGTTGAAGCAGAAGGAAGGAGGAGAACGAGCATACCCACAATAGTTGGCTTTTCTTCTCCTATTGTTTTAGGTTCTGTCGTCACTGGGGGAATTTTTCTTTAAACTGATATAATTTAATTTCTTTTGACATAATTTCACACAAAACCAACAATGAAAGATCATTGTTTAATTGCTGAAATGTTTTGTACCACATTAATCTTAGATTTAATTGATATCTTAAGTTTAAATGGATGTATTATGTATTCTTGGATTAATTGATTGATTTTAGAATTTTTCATAGAAATTGGTATTTTGGACTGAAAAAATAATATTTTGTGATCTTAATCGGTTTGAAATTAATATTTCTCATTTCTTTAAAGTCAATTCTCATATTTTGAAAATTTGATTTTTACAAAGTTGTTCAACTTGCCTATTTCTAATCCACAGCGTGTGGTGTAGGTTATGTTTGATCTAGTACACATGTGCTTTAGTTTACTTATTTTAATGAATTTTTCGTTTATTTGATAGCTTGATCTACTACGTATCCTTCCAATGATTTCTCTTAACATAAAATAAAGAGGTCTATAATTTTTTTTTTATAAATATTGCATCCACAAGTTTGTTATCAAATAATTGCTTCCCAAAATTTTCCAGACTACCTAATTTTATGTGCATGTATCATTTGTCATTGTAGCAGGCAATGCACCTTTTGATTGACATGGGTTGCTTACACATGAATACGTTCATTGATTGATTTTTCTAGAGACTCCAGAATCCTAGCAGCACGAGCTTTAGCATCATCAATGCTAGTAGCACCAGCCATTTCTCTCACAAAAAGGTCAACCCACTCTGCGCCATTGGCAGGAAGGTTGTTCAAAGCTGTCTTACTCTCAGCAGCAGAAGCATCAAAATCATCTTTCACTTTAACCTGCAAGTTCTTCAAAAGTTACGAATGCCTCATCAATTAGAGATACTAAAATGTCATTTTAAAAACAAAATGGAAGCATATGGTCATAGCAAGGAAGCAGGAAGAAATAACATCATATTCGAAACTCTTGATAAGATGCGTTTTAGGCAACTTCTCAATTAGCTTTAAGCATCTTCTTTTGATCCTCCTTAATTAGCATTTTCAACTGGGGAAAACAGGTGTAATTGTTGATAAGATGAATTTCTACATCTGCATATTTTGTTGCGAGTTGTGGATTCACAATGATCTCTGATGCTAGATGACTTTTAATTTTAGAAAGTTATGAAAGACATTATTCAATAGTATTTTGTTATGGGTTTATAGTTGAATATGACATTCTGGGTTTCATGATACCCAAAGCCCCATTTATTTTGAATCTTGCCTGCAGTTAACTTAGAAAAGCTCTTTTAACTATGATACACATATTTAAGGATTGATTTAACTCTTTTCTATTATGATTAATTTTTCTTATGATTTATGTTGATTATATAACCATGACAGCATTTTTAAACGTTTTACAAAGCATGTTTTCTATTATGGTTAACTTTTTAATATTAATAAATTCAAAGGATTAGAAGTTCCATTGTCACGTCTTGTGCTTCAAATTGCACAAAAGCTTCAACAAAATGTATTGATCATCTCACTTTACGAATTCAGAACCAGATGAACCAATTTAGATTAGCTGTCAAAGAAACTTGGCTTAGTAGAACAAGCAACAATTAAGTTCATGGGGCTTGGAAAATCCATCTTGCTTCTCCACCAACATCTCTTGCTTAAAATCCCTATTCATAACAGAGGACGGGACGGGATGAGCTACAGGGCCGTCCCCTCCCATTAGTATTATGTTTTTTCTTTTTTTTTATATCATATCGTGAGTTAAAGTGAGGCTATGAGTAGTGCTGATGATGTACATTATTATCATTTTTATTTGATATATTGATATGCAATTTGTTGGTCAAAAAATATTGATATGTAATTTTTTGTCCAGCAACTGTGAATAATGTTGTGTGCTTCTGTTTTTTATAAATAAAAAAAACATTGCAATACTTTTCTATTGGTCTTGAATATTGTGGAGAGTTATGCCCAAATAATTAAGCACAGAAAACAAAAAACAAAGTCCCATTGGAATAGGCCCAAAAACATAACAGTAAAAATGGCAAAAAAAATGATTTAAATCAAACGTGATATGAGAAATGACTTTAAAGAAATACTTAATCTAGTTTAGTAGATTAAGTAGATTAGATATGCACAAAAAATTAGGCAAGTTGAAAAACTTTCTAAAAGTATGAGAATTGACTTGATAGAAATAGGAAATATTAATTTCAAGTCAAAAATAAGAAATCACCACAAATTCATATTTTCAATCCAAATTTGAATTTCTATGAAAAATTCTAAAATCAATCAATTAATCCAATAATACATAAAACATCCATTTAAGCTTAATATATCATCCAAATCCAAGATTAATGTGTGACAAAATATATAAAAATTAAGCTTTATCAATTTTCTCATACTTAACCTTTGCACTCCTAGAGAAAACAATTATGTTTGTGGAACAGTCTAGTTTTAATTTTTGATATTAGAATTCTATTCAGTCCCTTTTTGACAGACCATTCCTTTTGGTTAGGACATTTTATTATATACTCAACCAGAGCACGTACGCAGTAGATCAGCGCAAAGTAAGCTAATGCGTGGGCACTAGATTTTTATTTTTATTTTTTAAATAATTATTTTAATACTTATAAAATCTAAAATAAATATAATCTCTTAAGTATTATTTTTTAATTATGAGGCATTCAAAAGACAAAACTAAAGGGAAAAAGGAAATGTTATGAGGCATCATTTATAATTAGTCATAATTTAGATTGATTGTTTTACTATCTATTTATGTCAAAATAAAATATAAAATAATTTTATCAACCTCTATATGATTATGACGATCCTAATTAAGAAAGGCCTAATGCGTGAGGAAAATGGGCTATTCCCCTACTTTTTAAGGTCCATGGGCTAGATGATACTTATATAAGAATAAGATATAGTTATACCTAATGATATTATCAACAGTCTTTAGATTTAGAAGATGTCTAGATGATCAATAAGAGTTAGTTCAGTTGGTAAGGAGTTAGCTTATAACTCACAAGGTCGTGAGTTCGAATCCTGCTACCAATATGAGAACTTTGTTGGTGGGCGATTTGTAAGTACCTCTGTAAGTGTTCTCTGAGCCTGGAGTAATGTCCTGGCCCTAGTAAGCCCTCGGGACCTAACTCACCTAAACTTTTTTGTACCAAAAAAACAGAAAAAAAAGAAGTTTAGATGGAAACCAAAATATAATTTTAAAAATAATTTTACAAATTTGTTCTGATTTACGAAAAAGTATTTTTAAAATCATTTTTTCACAAGTCCAAACGCCCTTTCAGTGAAAGGGTTTTTGACCCTTTTAGTACCGGTACTTGGGGGATCGACTCCCCATTGGACTTGGCAATGCAATTATCTGATCCAGTCAAATAAACATATCAGAAAATGTCTAGTAAGTCATATCAATCTGCAGAGAAAGTCCCAAAGTTTGGGATAAATAAAAATAAAAATACTAAGAAGAGTAAAATATTTAATGATGACACATAATATAGGAGGAGACTAGTACGTTGGAAGACGACGGAATATTTGATGAACCTTCAACTCTGTTTTAACATAGCCAACACAGTCATCTTTTCCATCAGGAAGGAGATATGGCAGCTGAAGTGCAACTATTCGACGTACAGGCGTCAAAGCCGGTGGACACCCAGACATTACTATTGCAGCCGTGGCTGTTGCAGCTTCAGTCCCTGTTTATTTACTTTGATGAATGTCTTTTGAATTATGTTAAAAACATATAACTGTCCACCATCACATGAAGTTACCATCTCTGTCAACTTTCCTCCAGAGAATGGCAGTCTTATCCCTAGTCCCCTCAGCACCTTGGAAGTTTTCACCTCAGAAGACATATTAAATTCTGGGGTCAGTACGCCATTAACTTCCATTAGATCTACCTCAGGTTCATGATAAAATTCATATTTAAATGAATGCGGATAATAGAAATGCATAGAGAAAGCACGCTTTTCTTCACGTCGCTTTTTATATGTGTGTCCAAGCTTATGCATTCTACCTAAAATGCCATTGCTATCAATTACTCCCATCTTGGCAGCAATGAAGGGAGCACTCACTTTGTATTCGTTCTCACCACACTGTTTTCTTAGTATGATTGGATTTGTTCTCTCTCTCTCTTTGTTGCCATATGCATTTGCTTTCTCATGTCATGCTCCTCTGAAGTATAGGGCATTTGTAAAGACGAGCTTGACTAAGTTGTTGAGAGACCCCTCACCAATAAGGTCTTTAACTTGGACACTTGCCTCATTTTCCACCCACGAATTAATTTGTTGCCCCACATGAGCAGCCTGCACAAATTATATATAGCCATTTCATAAAGCCTCTCATCAAGACAACAAATTGTTGTTCTTGATTCCCTTAATTAATTTCCTCACACAAAATTGAAATCGTTGTATTCTCTCAAACTCAACGACTTTGCATTTAAAATTTACAAAGGCGAAGAAGAAAATAATCGGGTTGTGTGTGTATATACATATCATGCATCAATTAATATAACAATTAATGAGATGATTTTTAGGAGACCAAAAAAAAGAGGGGATAAATTCAAACTTCCACTACCTACATTCCACCAAAATTGTACACCACAAATAAGAGCTAATAAAGAGACCAACGATTCCATAGAAAGACATCACGAAAAGCAATATGCTTTCATTTTTGAAGTTCCGGCATGCCTTCTGGAGTCTTCATCTTTAAAACATCATTATAAGAGAGAAAGAGGGTATGGCACACAGCTGAAAATGTAATGAGCAATATAAAATTTAAAGGTTAAAATATGTATTTGGTCCTTTAATTATGTACGAGGTTTCAGTGTAGTCTCTTAATTTTAAAAAGTATACTTTTGATCCTTCAAACTTGAAATTTTTTTAAAAAATGACGACATTAAGATATTAAATGTTCAAAAAATATTCTCAAATGCTAATATATTAAGTTTAATTCTCAAAATATTTATGATTGTCACAAAAAATTATCATTAAAGCCTACTGATTTTAGGGTTAAGTGACCAAATATATTTTTTTAAAAGTTAAGGGATCAAATTAAAACTTTATATAAAGTTAAAGGACCAAATATATTCTTTAGCCAAATTTAAATTACATTTAATTAAAGATATTTTGGGACGGAACATTACGTCGGTCTGAAAGTTCACTGGGTTCACAGCGGCTCTGTAATCAGAGTCCAGAATGTGTTTAAAATAGGGCTTGAGAGTAAGGGACTGATCAAGCCATAAGGCATTGGAGCAACGCACACAAGGGCCAACGACGGGATCACCATCAGCCAAGATGACGTCGGAGAGTTGAGAGGCCAAGGAATTGAGATGATCGACGGAATCGGCGTTGAAGAAGTTGACAAGCTGACGGCGGGTCCAACCGCGGGAGCCGGCGGCAAGGAGGCTGAGCACCACTTGTAAAGACAAAGGTGAAACCACCCTGCATTCATCTAATTTTGGTGAAACCAACCTGCATTCATCTAATTTTACATCCATAAGTAGATGGTTTCCCAACAACTCGGATCTGTCGAATACGTCAGGAGCTCTCTCGTTTTCCCGACCAGCTCTTCTGCTGCTGCCGTAAGAAGCCGTTTGGTTGAAGAAGAAGGAAAGTACACTCCTTTCAAGCCATGGAGAGATGGAGAGCCGGTTATTGGAACGAAGCAGACTGAGCCGCATGACGGAGATCAGAACACTTCGACTTCAACCCTGGACTCCACTGTTCCTAGGATATGTACTTTATGTAAAACTCCGCTCAAATGAGAATCTTGTGGATATCTATGATTTTATTAAAAAAAACTTACTTTTTTTATGATAAAAGTTAGTGAAATTAGGTAAAAAAAAAAAAAACTCTTCAATTTCATGTGAAAATCATATATTAATTATTTTAAAATTTAATAGGTATTTTAATTTGTTGTGATTTTTTTAAAAAAAGTTTGCTTTGATCATTGTACAAACTACAAATTTCAAACTGATTTGTATTTGGGAGAATTATAATCAAGTCCCAAGAAAATAAAATAATAACTAAAAAATGCTAATAAAAACTTAAGCAACCTGACAAGTTTCAGACTAGAAAATGATAACTTCTGTGACTTATTTTATAATTATTTTCTTTTTTTGAGATATTCTATCATCATCCGTTGGTTTTTTCTTGACTGTCTATCTTACTTTTGTTCAATTGCTTCTAATTACTTTTTTCACCTTGCCATTTTGCTTCTTATAAGATATGCTTGGTTTGATTGCAATAGTGATTTCCATGTGGCTTGAGACATAGAAATTGATTGCTTTTTCCTTGGCTTTTTTGTCAAAATAAGGTTCATGCCACCATTGTGTTGATGATTGAATATCATCAAGACCAGAGGTAATAATAATTTTGGCTAATGTGGTCCTTAATTTCGCTGGTTAAAGCAGTATTAATGTCAAAATATGAGATTAGTTCAAGGTGTAAAACCGCTCCCTTAGGGTATGTATGAGGGAAATGAAGGGAAAGGGAGGGGAGGGAAAATTTTGATAAGCTTGTTTTAAAAAATTAAAGAAGTTGGGTTATAAAATTTTGATAAGTAGAACATGTAATATAAAAGAATAATTAATAAATCAAAAAATTTTAACCCCACTTCTTTATTTTTTTAAAACGAGCTCATCAAAAATTTTCCTCTCTTCCCTTTCCCTCCATTTTCCTCATACCAAATGGACCCTTAAAATCGTCTATGCCAAGAAATGTGAACAAATGAATGAAAATATCTAATATAATTTTACTGTTTAGCATGATGTCTTGCATTATAATTTCTGGACTATAATACATGTGTACTGACCTTATATAATTGTGACACATCGCAGAGCAAATCATTGAATAGCTTATATATCGCTTTTTAACTAAGCTTTGCTACATAAGTGAAGCAGATGTCCTCATACGCCGAGATGGGAAATATAGCTGAACCTAAAGGCATGGCTGCAGGACCTATGCAGTGATTATTTAATCATATTGAACGACTTATATGTCGCTCAATTGTTCTTGCCAAAAAAGTTCCCATTCTAGATAGCTTCAAGGATTGGTCCACATCCTACAAAGCTGTTCAATGGCATAGAATATACTTTGACACTGGAATCTTAAGTTTTTGGCTATCATGGCCTTCATAATGTTGGTCCGGATTTGTTTATTGTACTTCAAACATTTTTCTCAATGGCAACAGCTTCTAAAATCATTATTTTAAGGCCACATAAATGTTTCTTTGTCTGCATTATTATTTGTCTGTTTCTTTCTTTGTTTTGTTTTTTAATACAGAGGCAAGCTCAGAAACTTGAAAAATCAAACACGATTAGAACATCCTCCTGCCATAGTCGACCGCCCTAAATCCATTTTCAGTTGATGTAAACATCCGATAGGTGGATATTTGTCTATTGCTTTAAAGTGCAGTATCCTTAAATGTGGGGCCTTTAGTCACAGTAAACCAACTGTGAAGGTCAAAGGGGTGGGGGAGCATTGAATAACACTTATGCCTTACTTATTATGCAAGTTTTTCTGGAAATTCGAAGCTGTAGGTGCGGAAGTATTTTACCTCGAGAGAATAGTTTGCAATTCTTCGACCCATGTGAATGACCAAACCATTAGCAAAAATATAGAACTTTTATTTTAGGAACGGGAGACGAATATGCATATCTCAACACAAGACTACTGGAACTAATGGTTTTTAAATAGTGAAAAGCATTGTAGCGGAAATCCTTTAATGTGTTCTAAGTGAAAAAATCCTGAACGAGAAAGAGATAGCCTTTCATAAAGCCATGGAGGAAACCATGGCAACTGGTAAGGATACTTCAGAGATAAGAAGCAGCTGTTGAGTATCTCATCAGGTAGGTTAACCTTAGAACTGAGTGGAATAGAGTAGGGGCTTTGATATTAATTCAGGACCAAGTTCAACAACTAGAATCATCTAAGCTTTTTTAAGAAATTAATGAGAGGCAAACGGTCCTAAAAATCAATGTCAAGTAAGGTTTGCAGTGTTTGACTGTATTGAATAAAAAATTAAGAGCTTCTTTGTCTATCATATTGCAACCGAGAGCGATCCTTAAGGTTGCAGAGGCAAATCTCAAACTGCAAGCTGAGAAAGTATAAACATGATCAAGGAGATGTCTTAGTTTCATATATATGCTTCCATGTAGTATAGTCCAGAAAAAGTTGGAACACGGGATGTGCTTCTGGGATGAAAAATGGTTTCACAAAAATTATTTTGACCACTATTTAAAAAAAAAATTTACTCCGAAAAAATATAATGCAAAGAGCCATTGGGCTGAATATATCAAGAAATTCTAAAAGGGTTATTTATTCTAGATGCTGGTGTCATCGCCTTCTTCGGGTTGGTGTGCATTTAATGTAATTCCATATACTATATTATTGCAACAGAATATGACCTATTTTCTAGATAAAAGCATTCTTAAAGTAAAAATATTTGTCTTTGAAATAGAGTAAACTTCTTATCTAATCATGCTATAAATGTTGTAAATTTAAATTAAACATCCGATCTCTTCCTTTAGTCAATATAAAAGCGTAACTATTGCAAGAAGGAATTGGGGGTCGTGAACGGTGGTGTGAGGTGGAGCATTGAGATGTGTGAGAGGGAAAAGGTCGTGGGCATAGTTGGTCAAATAAGACCAGAAACACTGCATTATTTCCATATTTGAACCTGTTGTGACTCGACAATAATAAAGCAGATTTCTTCATTTTGTGCAAAACATGAGATCTTAAACAGAGAGATAGTAAAGAGGGGTCACAAATTGCAGGTTTGCAGATGTCTCTTTTGTTAGTTCAAAGTCAGAATATCATTGTTGATTGCAACTTCTCCTGACCTTCAATTGTTCTGTCTTTATCGAGCCTTGCTATTCAATTGCTTGATAGGCTCATGTTGGAATATGACTTTTTCAGCTAAACATGGCTACTAGAGTACATGCTTGGTTCCCTTGACTCCCTTAAAGAGACCAAGGCTTTCCAGAACGAAGGTTACTCTATATTTTTTTGCTGCCTATATGATTTTCCTTGAAGTTATTATTTTACTGTGCTTTTATTATGACGACAGTATATTTTGAAGAACTAAATGAGGTAGAAATGGGGAAGGCGGGAGGGGCTAAAGCCTGGGGGCAATAGAGGATATGAGAGAGAGAAGGAATGAGTGGTTGAGTTCGGGGCAGCATGTTGGCATCATCCTGGTGGAGAAATTGGACAGCATAATGGCCATAGAAGAGGCTTAACTAATAAAGTAATAGGTAATATGCGCCAGGTCCATTCACTTTGTAAAATATGCTGCTCACTTTGTGATTATCAGTTTGTTTTCTTGATAAAAGACTTATGATTGAATTTATTCTTTTAAAATTTTATTTAAAAAAATTCACGGTCACTTGACCACATTGACACTTGGGCTGTTATGTTCTTCTTCCTTCGGCTTAAAAATTATCCCATTAGGCCATGAGATGGTTTCTATATAACTTCTTTGTTTGTGATTCTCGGGTACTCTTTATTCTTTTAGCAGTTTTCTTCTACTGGAATATTAAATTTGAGAGTATAAGAACTTGCATCTTTAGCAAGTGAGGAACTCAAGGCTGGCTTGCAGAAGGTTCGTTCACAAATGGCTGGTCTGGAGATAAACATGCTGATGGGAGTGGAAAGTTTCTTTCATCCTTTTGTCTTAAGCATCTCAGCTATTTGCAAATACCTCATGTTTTGAGCATATATGTTTTTATATTTGTACATTCTTTATTTGGCCTGTTTAATTGTGTTGCAGTTTCTCCAACTCAGACCTATAAGTTGATTATCAATTCATTTTGCGTCTTTTCTTTTTTTAGTCATACGTGAGAAAGTTAAAGTTGAGGACTACTTTGTAAAGATCATAGCTGTAATTTGGACGGTCGAGTCATGTTTTTCTACCACACCCCTTGTTTTAAAGGTCATAACTGACACAAAGTTTTTATGTTTTTGTTGTATATCTGATTATGAATCATAAAGGACAAAAAATGACCCTTATTATGCAATATATTAATATGCAATTTTTGGTTAAAGTCATATTAACGTGTGTAGATATAAAATGGTATCATAAAGTTTATTGATGGTAGAAGAAATTTGGACAGATTTTATATTTTAATATTATAATTTTTTAATTAGAAATATAATAACATGAGGAGAATTTTGGCTATCTACAAGTCATCCTACCAACTACCAAGTGAGAATTTCATCAGGATTTATGTAGATGTAAACATTCCATGTTTTTTAATTTACTTTATTTTGAGAAACCCGAGATATTTTGTTTTCTCTCTAGATATTATTATAATCATAATCATATATAATTTATATAGGGACAATTTTAGAAATTAGTTATAATTAATAATAAATATTTAATAATCAGATAAGTACTGAAAGTCATACACCAAACGACTAAATCTGCTTTTAATTAGTTTCAGATATTTTCATCTTTACTTATGGTATTCATTGACAATATTGTCGTGCATGATGTGTAATGTAAAATTTTATATTTCATTTTTTAAAAAAAAGTATAGTTC